CTCTTAGGAAGGCCAACACTGGGAGCAGGTGGCCAAGGGTGGCCATTTGGAGTGCTGGGAGATCAGAGACTGTTGTAGGGTGCAACTCTCCAAGGAGAAAACACAGCCTTGAAGAGAGATACGGGACTTGGCATAGGAAGGGCTGAAGGAAAACACACCCAGCACACAGTCTGCGGCATGCATGCTTATGGAGCAAAGCATCAGGTCTTTTTTTTTTTTTTTGAATGAAGTTTTGCTCTTGTTGCCCAGGCTGGAGAGCAATGGCACGATCTTGGCTCACCGAAACCCATGCCTCCCAGGTTCAAGCGATTCTCTTGCCTCGGCCTCCCGAGCAACTGAGTTTGAAGGCATGCACCATCGTGTCCTGCTAATTTTGTATTTTTAGTAGAGATGGAGTTTCTCCATGTTGGTCAGGCTGGTCTCAAACTCCCAACCTCAGGTGGTCCGCCCGCTGCGGCTCCCAAAGTGCTGGGATTACAGGTGGGAGCCACCGTGCCCAGCTGTATCAGGACTTTTCTGTAATTAGGGCAACAACCAATTTTAGTTAGATACTGAGTACATTAGAGAGGGCATGACAGACATTTCCTGCTGCCAAACCGGGAAACAGTTTGCTGAAAACCAGGAAGAGGATGTGTGGATTTGGACAGGAGGATGGAGGACTAAATGGCCTGAAGCCGACCTGAACTCCAGGGACTAGAGCTAGAGAAGTACCAACACGCAGCAGGGAGAAAATGGCAGGTAAGTAAGTCTTAGCCCATTTCAGTTAATGGTCAAGATAAAGTCCCTGTGCTTAAGCGAGCGACTGCATCACCACCACTTAAGGCTGGAACGTTGCTTGTGAACACAGCCTGGGTGGCATGTGGCTGAGGGACCCTCTGCACCATCTACTCCTCACCTTTTGCTACCCACCAGGTACATGTGCCACACACTAGAAAGCTACCAGCTGCTGGGTCTCTATGAAGTCTGAAAGCCACACTGGCCAGGCCTTTCTGGAAACACCAGCTGCCAGGCTCCAGGATCGGAGAAGCCTGCTGGCAGAGACTAACTTGTCACCCAAGTCACAGACAGTTGAAACCGCAGGCTGCCTTAGGTTATTCATGGCAACAGGAGCTAGAGTTAATTACACCCGAGGAGGCCAGCAGCCAGTGTCAGGCACAAATCCCTTTACATACCTTAGGTGAAAGGGCCTGAGTGTTCTCGTTGATCAGCATGTAGGTGAAAGAGAACGAACATTTACTGACCCCCATACTATTGTATAGGTTCTGTTTAAATGATGTACTCACAGGAACCTCATCTCTAAGGTATCTCTGTGATAATTAGTATCTATTTTTAAAATATGGGTACTATGGGCTGGGCACGGTGGCTAGCGCCTGTAATCCCAGCACTTTGGGAGGTGAGGTGGGTGGACTGCCTGAGCTCAGGAGTTCAACATCGGCCTGGTCAACACGGCGAAACCCTGTCTCCACTAAAAAATACAAAAATTAGCTGGGTGTGGTGGCAGGCACCTGTAATCCCAGCTACTCAGAAGGCTGAGGCAGGAGAATCACTTGAACCTGGAAGGCAGAGTTTGCAGCAAGCTGAGATGGAGTCACTGCACCACTTCAGCCTGGGTGACAGAGCAAGACTCTATCTTAAAAAAAAAAAAAAATATATATATATATTTATTTATTAGTTAGATACTGAGTTATATATTATATATATAAATATATTATATATATAAATATAATATAATATTTATATTATAGATATAAATATATATATATAAATATATATATGTGCACCCCCCACCCCCTACGTATGCACTGAAAACACAAGGCTGGCAGAACCTCCTTCACACGGTGAAGCAATGCATACATGTTAGCTGTCATTTGCTTGTTTTCTATGGCCTCTGGGTTTACTGAGCACTACCTCCATCTGGAAACACACTTCCTCTAAAATGTCACCTTCTGTGACACCTCACTTTCCAGTCTCCCAGTCTCTATCTCATCACCTACTGCTTTTCTGTGCCTTTGAGACATCCAGTTTACTGGAGTTTCCTTTAGGGTTGAGATACTGTTTACTCAGGTTGTACATACAGCACCTAGGATCCTGCCAAATGATGGGATGTGGAATGAATGAATGGATCCGTGGCCAATCAGCCAGCACAAGGAAGAGTGATTATCCAAACCCAGATGGGTCCAATTTCAAAACCCATGTTTGACTCACTCCCCCAAGTTGACCTTTCTCCAATTTAAAGCAATTCCCTTTTCAAAAAAGTTGATGTGCATTCAAAAAAATTAATGTGCTAAATGGAGTGAAATATCCGAAGACACTCTTGTAACTCTCTCTCTCTCTCTCTCTCTCTCTCTCTCTCTCTCTCTCCTTACAATGACACAGATAGTTTAAATGTTAAATCCACAGTCACTATAACAACCTGTGTATCCAGTCCAAGCGTATAAATCAGAATTCCTGCCCAGCAGCTGAAAGCTTTAACGACTGCCTGGCAGTGGGAACATAAACATCATTTGGACCCGCAAAACCTGCGTTTAGTGCTCATTGGACTAAGGTCAGCAAACAACCCATTTGGCCGTGGGTGTGGCTCACGAGATGGCGCAACTTCAGCACCTCACTGGGACATTAACAACGCAGGGTGAGCACTGGCCTGATTCAGGGTGACATGTTTGATAGACAGGAAGCTCAGTGCTTATGTCTGATTTTCTTGGGCAGGTAATGATCAGAATTGGCAAGTAGCTCCTGCCTGGCACAAAGCAACAGCAACAGAAGAAAGATGAGGAAAGTTCTAGAAAATGGCTCAAATTGTGTGTTCAGCACTTGTCCCTGACTATAACTTTTTGTTAGGTATGCAACGAGGCAAGTAAAAACACCCGGAAAGTTTTTAGAAACTGTTTGTAACAATCTGATGGGAATTTTATGTCTATTTAACAAAAATTGTGTTTCTATTTGGAATCTATTTTATTTTATATTAATCCATTTTTATTGCATTTTACTGAAGTATTAATCAGCTAATGACTAGAAAAAAACATGTAACAGTCCACAAAGAATTTGAAAAGTAGTGAAATAGAAAACAAAACCAACTCATTAAAAGACAGTGCAAGTGTAAAAAGATAAGCCACAGAATGAGACAAAATACTTGCCACACATTAATTATGAACATTTCATGTAAAAAAATTCTATAATATGTAAATAATCAAATTCAACTCAATTAGAAAAATGGGGAAAATTCCTGGACATTTTACATAAAGAAATTCTACTGCCCTATTAACATGTGAGAAGTGCTGAACCTCACTGTTTTCTGAGAAATGTGTATTACAACGACAAGTCACCACAGAGCAGTCCCCAGACTGGCAGTCGTGAAGCTGATGAGGTGCTGAACGACAAAGACTCTCAGACACAGCTCCTGGGAGTGCAGACTGGTCACATACTTTAGAGAACTGGCAACATGAGCTGCAGCTGAACACACACCCCACAGGCAGCAATTCCACGGCTAGGAACCAACCGAAATGTGTTCACGTGGGAACCAAAGGAGGCTGAGGACAATCACAGCAGCAGAGTTTGTGACGGCCACAAAGGGAAAAAAAAGCCAAATGTCCACCAACAGCAAACTGCATAAATACATGGTGGTGTATTTACACTGTCGATAGTAAATAGCAGTGAAGAGTATACTAGCAGTGAAACCACAGCTTCAGGCGACAACACGAATGAACCTCACAGGTGTGACAGCCCCCTAGGTCTCATCCAAGTTCCCTTGTGGGATCTGCAAGACATTCCAGGGACAAACTGTCCTATAAATTCAGTGACACTATGGTGCTGGAGTTATTTCCGTCTATAGAACCAGCCTCCACTGGGTACCCAGATGTCATGGGAGGTGAGGGAGGGGGTCCTTGAAAAAGTCTTGGAGTGAGAGGAGCTTCTGAGACCAGGGAATGACCACAGGCAGCAATGAGGTCCGAAGTATAGGAGTCACAAGCCAGGTTAGCCATGGGGCTGCCCCAGTCGCCTGCTGGCTTCTGTGTTCCTGCTGCGTTGGGGAGGCCAGGCCTGGCTGTGGCTGGACACAGGGATTTCTGCTGCTGGAAAAATTCCCAAGGGGTTGGGCAGCAGGAGTTAAGGAGGCTGTGGTAACCTAGGATTCCCAGAAATGTGATGTTGATGGAATGGGAACATCTGGGGAAACCAGATCAGGTTTGGGGAACTCAGGGTCCACTAGGACTCTTTTTAGTCTCAACTAACTATTCAGACTCCACAGATCACACCTGGCATTCAGAAAGCTCCAGGCCAGGGAGTAGAGCAAGGCAGCCTGGAAGCAGCAAGCAAGTCTCATCCATGGGAACAGCCCTTGCAGTGGTTCCATACAGCTGTCCTGAAGTTGGTCTCCTTGCTCCACCCCTCACTAGCCCCGCTTCCCTCCCAAGATGCTCAGGTGGATCAGAACTCACATGTGTGGTATGGATCGATGGTGCTTGGAAGCCTCATATCCCACAAGAGTCCGAATGTCTTGCAACAACCCACAGAATAGTTCTGAGTCCCTATAAAGCTCATGCCCAGAAACAAGAATCCCCATCCTCAGGGCAGCTCAGAGCCAGGCTTCCTAACATGTATTCATCATAGTGCTCCCAGCCCAGCTTACCAACTGGGGCTCATTTTCACCAGAAGCAATGCTGCTTTGTACCACAGCGGATATTCCATCTCGACCAGGTTTCCAGGGAAATAAACTAGGACGTTAACCCCAGGTCAACTCTACTTAGAGAAGAAGTGGGGATTTTAACTTGGGAACCCTTTACTCCCAGCATGGAAGACGAAGAGCTCAGATGTGCGTTTGAAATGCTACGGGAATCCCCAAGGGGAGATATTGCCAGGTCCAGAGCTCAGCAGAAAGGTCTGAAAGCCTCTTTTCAAAGGCATCTTGGTGAGAAGAGCCCACTGCATGCAACCAGCCGCGGTGGAGCCCTCTGCCAGCACTGTGTGGGCACGTGAAGGTGGCCTATCCCTGGGCTGCTTACCTTTTCCACAGGCCTGCACCAGGCCGTACCACTCCCCGCAGCTGTTACATAGCAAGGTGAAGGCGGTCTCCCGGTGGCCTGTGATGTGGCCTGGGGCGCACACGTACAGCAGTTCATCCCCCATCTCCAAGCCGGTTCGGCCCTGCAGGATGGTGTGTGGGAAGGAAGGCGGGTCTCCACACGGCTTCTCTGGGGAAAAGGAATCACAGTCAGCTTTTCCAAACTGTGCGGAACTCTTTCAGCCTATGAGAAAATAGACTTAAAACACAACTCTCCCCTGCCGCTGGCCGCACCCTCAACTGTGATCACAGGGGCTGTTTCTTGGTCCCTCTGGCAGCTTCAAGGCTTGGCAGAATTCCTGGAACAGAAGAGGCACTCAAAAATACTTGTTGAGTGAATAAATGCCATACAAAGTGCTACAACTTTGCATTTTTAAATTGTCAAACAATGTTACCTTCTAATGTCTCCTTGAAAGGAGGGTCTGGAGATACATGCCTACCAGCAAGCTCCTTTTTGCCTTATTTTGATAAGTGAACAGGAACTCTGACAAAGGCAAAATGTTACAGACTATGGATTACAGCAGAGGGTACCTCCCCACTCCCCCACCCTCAACACCAACAGCAATACTGTTACCAGTTTGGTATATCTAAAAGTCTCTCTCTCTCTCACTCACACACACACACACACACACACACACACAGACACACACTTCTGTTTTTTTTTTGAGACGGAGTTTCACTGCTGCTACCCAGGCTGGTGTGCAATGGTGCGATCTCGGCTCACTGCAACCTCCACCTCCTGGATTCAGGCAATTCTCCTGCCTCAGCCTCCCGAGTAGCTGGGATTACAGGCGTGCGCCACCATGCCCAGCTAATTTTTTGTACTTTTAATAGAGACGGGGTTTCACCATATTGACCAGGATGGTCTCGATCTCTTGACCTCGTGATCCACCCGCCTCGGCCTCCCAAAGTGCTAGGATTACAGGCTTGAGCCACCACGCCTGGCCGTGTTTTTTTTTTTTTTTTTTTTTTTTTTTTAACATAAATGAGATTTATATCATATGTATTATTGAGTGCCCTGTTTAAAAAAAAATGACAAACTATTTTTTAGGTTCACATCCAAGTTAAGCAGGAATTACAGAGTTCCCCTACACCCCTGACTCTTCCACACACACAGCTTCTTCCACTGTTAAGATTCTGCACCAGAGTGGTCCATCAGTGACAACTGATGAAACGCCACTGACACCTCATTATCACCCAAAGTCCATAATTTATCTCAAGGTTACCATAATTTACTCTTGGTGCTTTACCTTCTATGGGCTTTGACGAATGCGCAATGACACATATCCACCATTATAGCATCATACAGAATAGTTGCACTGCCCCAGAGTCCTCTGTGCTCTGCTTATCTGTACCTTCCTCCTCCCTAAAGATTGCAAACTCTGATCTTTTACTGTCTCCATAGTTTGTCTTTTCCAGAATTCACATAGTTGGAATCATAGCACATAGCCTTTTCAGATTGGCTTCTTTCTCTTAGTAACATGCAATTATGGTTCCTCCATGTCTTCTTATGGCTTGTGAGCTCATTTATTTTTAGCATTGAATACTATTCCATTGTCTGGATGTATTGCAGTTTATCTAGTCACCTACTGAAGGACATCTTGGTTGCTTCTGAGTTTTGGCAACTATGAATAAACCTGCTATACCCATCCATTTATAGGTTTTTGTGTGGATATTAGCTTCTGGTTCATTTGGGTAAATACCAAAGAGCATGACTGCTGGGTTGTATAGAAAGAGTATGTTTAGTTTTGTAAGAGCTGCCAAACTGTCTTCCAAAATAGCTGTACCATTTTGCATTCCCACTGGTAATAATGGGTGTTCCTGTTGCTCCACATCCTTGCTAGGATTTGTTGGTTTGTATTCTGGATTGCAAACATTTTCCCAAGTCTGTGACTCATCTTATTCTCTAGACATTGTCTTTTGCAGAACAGAAGTTTTAAATCTTAATGAACCCCAGCTTATCAGTTCTTTCTTTCGCGCATCATGCCTTTGGTCTAAGAAGGCATTGGGATACCCAAGGCCATTGACTTGCGGTCAATGCGGTTTTCTTCTAGGATAATTTCTAGCCGTCTTCTGGTTTTGTGTTTTACGTTTAGGTCTATGGTCTATCTTGAGTTAATTTTTGTGAAGGGTGTAAATTGTGTGTCTAAATAATTGTTTTTGATGTGGATATCCAATTGTTCCAGCACTTATGTAAAAAAGACTATCTTTGCTTCATTGTATTGACTTTTCTCCTTAGTCAAAGATCAATTAACTATGTTTTTGTGGGTCTATTTCTGGGCTTTCTATTCTATTCCATTGATATTTGTCAGCTCTTTCACCAACACCACACTATCTTGATTGCCATAGCTTTAATGATATCTTCAAGTCCAAAAAGTTCAACCCTTTGATTTTGTTTTTCTTCTTCAATATTTAATTGGTTATTCTGGGTCTCTTACCTCTCCATATAAACGACACACTTTGTTAACCCATTTGTGCCAGAGGTTGCAATTTTTTTCTGTGTGAAAAATCAGACCTTGGCAATGACCTTGAGCAGCAGAATATTAATAACTCCCACAAGCTTAGCATTCCAACAATGGGACACTTGGCACAAATGGGCTAATATCCAGAAAGATAACTTGCTGGGATTTTGATTGGGGTTGTGTTCAATCTATGGGAAAAACTGACATCTTCACAATCCATGAACATAGACTATCTCTTCATTTATTTAGTTCTTCTTTGATATATTTCACCAGAGTTTTATCGTTTTCTTCATCTATATCTATAGCTCTTGTACATAATTTGTTAGATGTATACCTAAGAATTTCATTTTTTCTTGGGGTGCTAATGTAAATGGTAATATGGTGCTTTTTAGCTTTTTTTTTTTTTTTTTTTGACAGGGTCTCACTCTGTCACCCAGGCTGGAGTGCAGTGTGCAGTCATGGCTCTCTGCAGCCTCAAACTCCTGGGTTTAAGTGATCCTCCCATCTTGGCCTTCCATAGTCTTGAGATTATAGGCATGAGCCACTGCGCCAAACTGGTAATGTGTTTTTAATTTAAAATGTCACTATTTAATTGCTGGTACATAGGAAAGTGGTTAACTTTTGTACATTAACCTTGTATCCTGCAATCCTGCTATAACTGTTTATTATTGTTATTTTTTATTGTACTTTAAGTTTTGGGATACACGTGCAGAAAGTGCAGGTTTGTTATTATAATTGCTTATTAGTTCCTGTTTTTTGTGGATTCTTTCAGATTTTCTACATAGGCAATCATGTTATCTGCAGACAAAGACAGTTTCAGTTGGTCCTTCGCAATCTATAGACCTTTTATTTTATTTTCTTATTCACCTACCAACATATTTCTCTAAATATATCCCTTGTTAGGCAATGAATATTGTATTTCTTTTCTTCTGCTTAATTTAGATTTAACTTGCTTTTTCTTTTTTTGAGTTTTCTAAGGTGGATTCATCCATTTCTCCTTGCAATTTTCTAAGGTGATTGATTGTAGATTTTTCTTTTTTTTCCTAATATATGTATTTAATGCTATAAATTTGCCTCTAAGCACTGCTTCCCACAACTTTTAATAAGTATTTTCTCCAGGTGCGGTGACTCACGCCTGTAACCCCAGCACTTTGGGAGGCTGAGGTGGGCAGATCACCTGAGGTCAGGAGTTTGAGACCAGGCCAATATGGTGAAACCCTGTCTCTACCAAAAATACAAAAATAAATTAGCTGGGTGTGGCAGCACACACTTGTAATCCCAGCTACTTGGGAGGCTGAGGCAGGAGAATTACTTGAACCTAGGAGGTGAAGGTTGTAGTGAGCTGAGATTGCATCATTGCACTCCAGCCTGGGTGACAGAGTGAGACTCCAACTCAAAAAAAAAAAAAAAGAAAAGAAAAAAAAATTCATTTTCATGTGGCTAAAAATATTTTAAAATTATCTTGAGATATCTTCTTTGACCCACGAATTATTTTAAAATGTGTTGTTTAATCTCCAAGGACTTTGGGATTTTCCAGCTATCTTTCTCTTATTGATTTCAACCTTAATTCCACTGTGGTCTGAGAGAGATGTCATATTTCTATTCTTTAAAATTTGTTAATTTGTGCTTTATGGCCCAGGATGTGGTCAGTCTTAATAAATGTTCCATGTGAGCCTGAGAAGAATGTGTAATCAGCTGTTGTTGGATAAAGTAGTCTAAATATGTCAACTATATCTAGTTAACTAATAGTGCTGCCAAGTTCAACTATGTGCTTGCTGATCTGCCTGCCAGATCTGTCCATTTCTGACAGAGGGGTGTTTAAATCTCCAATGACAACAGTGGATTCATCTATTTCTCCTTGCAGTTCTCTCAGTTTTTCCTCATGTATTTTGGTATCTGCTGTTAGGCATGTATACATTAAAGATGGTTATGTCTTCTTAGAATATTGACCACTTTACCATTACATGATGCTCCTCTTTATCCCTGATAACTTTTCCTTATCTGAAGTCTTCTCTGTCTAAAACTAGGATAGCTACTCCCACTTTATTTTGATTAGTGTTAGCATGGTATATCTTTTTCCATCCCTTTACTTTTTATCCATATGTGTCTTTATACTTACAGTGTGTTTCCTATATACAATATATAGTTGGGTCTTGTTTTTTAACACTCTGATAATACCTGTCTTTTAATTAGTATATCTAGACCACTGATGTTTAAAGTAGTCATTGATATAATTGGATAATCACTATAATTATTATTGTTTTCTATTTGTTACCTTGTTTTCTGTTACTATTTTTGTCTTCCATGCTTTTATGCTTTTTATGTCTTTTATGGTTTTAGCTGAGCATTTTATATAATTCCATTTTCTTTACTTTCTTAGCATATCAATTATACCTGTTTTTAAAATTTTTATTTTTTCCCTTTTTTAGTGGTTGCCCTGATGGTTGCAATGTACATTCACAAATCTAACTCCACTTTAAAATAACACTATACTACATTTCACAGGTAGTACAAGTACCTTATAATAACAAAATATGCCTAATTCCTCCCTCATGTCCCCTATATCATTGCTGTCATTCAGTTCAGTATTGAATTGCTGTGTTATTTTGTGAAAACGATTATCTCTCTGATCGCTAAGAATACAAAAAATAAGTTTTTATTTTACCCT